CTTATGAAGATTGCAAGATCATTGTGTCCATCTATATTGTGTTAGTTGAAGTGATGAAGAGTTATGATCTATGTTATCCGAGATTCCGAGATGGTCATACCTATAAGGGGTGTTTCAGTCAAGATTCTATCCACTCTCTCGTCAATTGTCTTTGGCTCTTGATTTCCAAAAGGCCAATGATGATTCAATATATCATCAACAAAACCATCAGGTATGATGAGCATAGTAAGTATGAGCAGAGAGCATAGTCCCAGAACCACTGCCATTAGATCACTGAATTGTCTCTTCCCCCGGCCATTGGTTGGTTCCAAGCAGGCATTTCGACTTTCTCTTGAGTCTTTGATTTCTGGTGATGATCTATCTCTTGGTAATAGAGGATCTTGTTCTGTATGAGGCATAATTATACAATAGCAAGAGTCAAAATGGAAAAGTTGGTGCCGGTGACAAATGAATGAGATTCATCAATGTACCCAAGTACCAACAGTCTCAAGTCCGGGTCCACCAGTCTTGAGATAAGGAATCGAATGGATGAGATGATCACATGATCAAATGATATCAAATCGTATCGTCCACCAGTCCATCTTCATTCCCCCAGTTTGTGCCAGACTCCAACACCCTCGCTCGTACTTACGTATCCATTCTCGAGCTACCCTCTGAGCCACTCACTCCGTACTCAGTCCAGTCAGTCGGTCCAGTCAGTCAGTCCATGAACGTGATTAATTACTAGGTTGGCATGAATGCGCTAAGCCCCTTTAATGGATTACCGGAAATTCCCTGATTTAGCTATTTTTGGGAATGATTTACACCTGAGATTTAAGGTTTGCTACTGGGAGGTTTTCATGTAAGACCCTGCACGTCAGTTACTAATTAAAGTAGGAACGAAAATCCAAGGAATGGAAGTGAAGACTGGAAAAGTTTAAGTGTTTTTTAATATTTACTCGTATATTAAAATTGTCGAAGGGCCCTAGTAGGTATATATAGATATATAGCATTGAACCTACTAGGTATGAATAAGGAGTAATCGAGTAAATGTCATTTTTATATAATACATATAATACATACGTACGTATAATACAAACAATACAATATCATCTCATCGTCTCATGATTTACAACTCTCTCCCAAACTCCTTTTTTTCTATGCTGTCTATACATGTCTTTGTTTACCTACTCATCACACTCACACAATCCCCATTTCATTCAATAAACTCTCCAACTGAATCATATCCAACGCCTTTGCTGATAGCTTCACCCATCTCAACATTCTGAAACCCCCGGGTAAACGAGATCAACGGTCAACCTCGTTCCAAAGGGCCCTTGCACAACCAAAAATCCGCAATCCTTCCTTCGATTTCCCTGCCCAGCTTTTTCGACTTCGTCCATCATAAACTTCTCCAGTTCTCCAACCAATCTGTCATTCGTTCAACAATCCCTCTTCCTTTCCGCAAGAAGGATTTTCTCTTCTTTGTTTTGTCTGTCGAAAGTTCTGAACCTTTCGAGGATCAACGAATACATTAATCCCTATTATTGAAGTCACGAATCAACGATAAGAGTACATAATAATGGCGCCCAATTTTGCGGATTCCTTTTGGTCGGGAGATTATGCTGGAGGTAAGGGGCTTGACTGTTTCTGCAGAATGTGTCCATCCGTTCCTGCATTCATGTACTAATTCAACTACATCAAAATAGGTCTTGGTGTTCTATTCGGCAAACTGCAGCAAGGTGTCGCCGAAAACCAACAAGTTCTTACCATTGCGCGAATGCGTGCGGAAGCCGAAGATGTCTATGGGATGAAACTAGGAGATATTGGAGCAGCAACGGACAAAATAACAGGCGGTTTCGGGAGAGATGATGGAGCAAGTGTTAGAAAGGTATTGATACTCAGGAGATTTTCCTTCGTTTTTTCGAGGGGCTGGTTGACTGACGCAAGATAGGCATACGATGGAGTACGGACGGAAATGGAAGAAGCTGCAAAAAATCACCGCAAAATCGCACAAAGCATTCGAGATCTAGTCGTCGCCCCTTTTTCGCGCTGGTGTGATGCACACGAAAATCGAGTTCAAAATTCACAGGATGACCTCCAGGCCCGCATAAAACTTCACGACAAACAAGCAGAGCTGGTCAAGAAGTTGCGTAGTCATTACTTTAATAAGTGTCGGTTGGTTGAAGATATTGAAGAGGAAAATAAACTTGCTTTCCAGGATCCAGAAACCAGTCCGAAGGCCAAGATTCCAGAGATTAAGGTTGGCGATAAGGACGATGAAGAGGATGACCAGTCTTTAGAGATTGGTGATGAAATCTACAATTCGGAACAAGTCAAGAAGATTTTGACACACCTTTTACAAACAATCAAATTGGTCGATACAAAAGTTCCAATCTTGGGCACATATCAAAATACAACATGCGGTGCAGATATAGTGGAATACTTTCAGAAATTCATGGGAGCAACAAGTGTCAGTCACGCTGAACGTATTGGACAGGATTTGGTATCGCATGGCTTTTTACGATTGATCGGAAATGTTGGAAATGTTTTCGCAAATAGTTCCAAGATGTTTTACCAATGGCGACCAAAGGGTTTCCAATTGACAGGAATCCCCGAAAAGAAGCCCCAAGTTGGCCGCACTTTCTCTGTCGCATCCAATTCCGATTTTGCAGATTCTCCTGTTGTTGGTTCGGTCTCTGAATATTTAGCGGGCTGGAATCCTTTGAACAATCAACATCCAAACGAAACACCAGGCGATCGTCTTCGTAGGGAAGCCGCAGAAGCAGATGAGAGGTACAAGCAAGGTGTTAGAAAATTGGATCATTTGCGATGTCAATTGGAGGAGGCTATCTTCGAGCATTTGAGATATTTGGAACGTTGTGAGCTTGACAGACTCAAGGCTATCAAGACCATTATTCTCGACTTTTCCGGAACGATTAGCAATGTCATTCCTAGCCTGCAATCGACAGTCGATAAGATGATGCTTTACCAAGAAACTGTACAACCTCTTGGAGATTTGCGATATCTTCTCGAAAACTATCGCACTGGTGGTTTCGCGCCAAAGGTTATCGTTTACGAGAATTATTACAACTCTGCAGATGAACAAACTTTTGGTGTTGATCTGGAAGCCCGGGCTCGCGGGGACAGAAAGAGAGTACCTGTCATCATTACCACTATTCTCACCTTCCTCGATAACAGATATCCTGATCTTGAAGGCGATCCAGCTAGGAGAAGTGTTTGGTTGGTTGATGTTCCCCTTCATCAAACTCACCGAGTACGAGATGTTCTCAATACCGGTAAACCATTTCCCATTGAAACTTTGGAGCCATATGAAATTCCTATTATTGCAAGCGTTCTTAAACTGTATTTACTGGAATTACCAGGTAAGCCCAGCCCTGCTGATCATTTTATGAAATGTCTCACCTAACTCCTGGTCATAGATTCTTTAGTGTCATCTCATGTTTACGAAATTATGAAAACGATCTACTCAACGCCAGCATCCGAATCTACCGACTCGGCTCGAATCTCAGTTCTACAAAATACCCTCAGTCAACTTAGGTTGGCCAACATTGCTACCTTGGATGCCCTCATGACCCATTTCACTAGATTAATTGAACTCACTTCCGCTGATGAGACTTATATTTCCGAACTCGCAACCATCCTTGCTCCATGCATCCTTCGACCAAAGACTGAAACCTCAATGACCATGGAAGAAAAGTATTCATACCGTTTGATTCGCGATCTCTTTGCTCACAAAGACGCCATCTTCTCTGAACTTAAGCGAGCTTCATCCCTCAATTCTGCGTCAAACATTGATACTAGAAGACCTAGAGCTATCAGCACCGACGAAAGCAACAGACGAGCCAACATGGAAGCCAGACAAAAGGCAATTATTGCAGCTGGTGGAGCAAGAAGTCGCGCCACTAGTCCTGCGCCAAGCCCACGTGGTCACCGTAGAGATAGAAGTTCAGGACCACCCGCAGCTGAGACTCGATTCCCGGTACAAACATCACCCACAGCTACAACCGATTCAACTAGAAATTCCCGAGGAAGCGTGAGACAAAGTCTTGAAGTTCCATCGTCAGCCGAAGCTAGTCCAGTTGTCGAACCAAAACCTTCACCTTTGTCACCATTGGCCAATGGAGCAGAAACTGGCACCCCCAGTGTTACAAGTGCTACATATATGCCTGGGTCTGGAGATGGATTGGAGGAACCCACTGTAGAAAAGAGGACTAGTCTTTCAAATGTGTCTAGTCTTCCAAACGTGGAAAAGAGAAACAGTTTAGGACGAAGTGGTCAAGTTTCGAGGAATAGCATAGGAAGAAAACCCTATGGAAATGTTGCAAGAATGAGCAAGAACTTCGATATGGTAGCAGCGGGTAACAGAGATAGTGTAGGAAGTATTGGCGAGGTGCCAGAACCTGCTCCGGAACAAAAGGTTGGGGTTAGTCTTGAGGATAAACCTATGGATGATTAGAAATGGTCACTTTGGAAGGGAGGTATAAGAAAGGCAGGAAGGGAAAGAAGGATGGAAGGATGGATGAGCACAAGCATGAATGTTAAATGAAAGAAAATCATGTACGATAATACGGTATGATATTTGCGACTGGCTGATTCTTTGCCGATAAAGCGAAGCGGGATGGTCTTTTGATACCCTTCCCTTAAGAGGTTGTTTTTTTATCGAAATGTTTTGGCGAGATAAATAGAAAAGAATGCGGTTATGAATCTGTATGTGTCTTATATTGTGTGGTTGAATTTGTATGACTGAGATAAGTGTGAAGTGTGATGTGAGGTTTTCATTTCTTGGATTTTTCGGCTGATGAGTTTCTTACCTCCTAACTTCACTCCCTTCACTCTTCATTTGCTGTACTTCACTTCATTTCACTTTCTCGAGTGAGAAGACTAGCGTTGAAATTTTGAACGCACATTTGGGGATTTGGGTAATTGATTTAATTTGTTTTGTTTTGTTTTTAAGATCGTTAGTTTTAAATTCCAACCTCTCGTCCATTATCAAATCTCTACTTCCAATCAAACAATCTAATACATACAAATCGAGAATTACGCCAATATTACCATAACATAACAGTAAATTTCTTGTTACTCGATAGCAAATTACAATTACAATTTCGCAATGTCATCCGACTCGTGGGAAACCCGCGACTTTGTCGGGGGGAAAATCCTCGACCAATTATTCGACGATTGGAAGAGGAGCTTCGAAATGTTGAAGCTGGAATATCTATTCGGAGGAAAAGCAACGTTGGAGATTAAGATGACAGTCGAGCTGCCAGATCACATGAGCAAACACATGTGTAAGTTATTTCATCTCCTATGAATTTCTATCTATGCGATGAATGCTAACATGTTGTGCTTTTAGGGGGAGAACCACATGGGGACATGGATTTTGAGCAAGAAAGCGAGGAGGATGGCAATGTGCATGGCGATGCAATTGCACATCCAGTCCGAGGAGAGAGCAATTTGCATGTCGAAGCAAATGCTCCGACAACAAAAGGAAAAGAACAAGATGTTAGCAATGCGCATAGTGGAGCACTTGCTTCCATGACACCACAATCTCGCAATATGCATATCGAAGCAATTGTTCGGCCTGCACCAAAGACATCAAAGGGAAATAGCAATTTGCATAGCGAAGCAGTTGCTTCGACACCACAACAAAATCGCAATTTAAACATCGCGCCAAAAATTGGGCCCGCACCAAAGACAGTCCAGAATAATAGCAACATGCAGAACAGAGCACCCCCTTCGATATCACAAAGCTCTCGCAATTCAAACGTCACACCAACTGCTCGCACCACATCAAACAACATGCGTAGCACAGCAATTGCCCCGACCACACAAAACTCTCGCAATCCAAACATCACATCGAATGTTCGGCCCACACCAAAGATAATCCAAAATAATAGCAATATTCATAACGGAGCAATTGCTCCGACAAACCAGAGACCGGCAAACAATCAAAACCTCGCACCAGGACGAACCCATAAATCCTCGTCCTCCGCAAGAACTACCCAAAATCCGCCAAGTTCTACAACCCTCGGATCTTCAGCAAATTTCAACCTGCCTTCACGCTCTGAACTTCGGCAACCTGAGCAAGATCGTTTCAATAGTGCTCATGAAGAAAGTCACCGGCGTTTTCGGGACCGGGAGAATAGAGAATATGAAAATGCAAAAAGTGGAAGCAAGAGATCAAGGGATAGTGATGCGGAAAATGAACGCCGCAAATATCGACGCGGACATTATTCATCTCGGAGAAATTGATGAAGGGGTTATCGGGTGAGCAAGGGAATTTAATGTACTATATAGCAAGTTTAGTAGATAGAAAGATTCGGCAGATAGCAAGATTAGTACATAGCAATTCAGTCAAAGTATGTTAGATAGCAAGATTTCGTTAGCAAACTAATACGATGAAGATCTTGAAGGATATATCATACCATACCATGATCAATAAGAAGCTTTTACTGATGAACCGTTGTAATTGTGATTGCGATTGTGTCCTGTATGCGTGATTATGGTGAAATGTATACCGAAGGAGACATTTTGGATTGGATGTGTCTGTTAATCAGAGAATGGTCGTTGTGTGATGACTTCCTGGTGAAATTTGACATCAAGACGATAAGTTCAACACCCTTTTGCACTTTCAGTAAATTGTACCTTCCAAAAGAGAAGTGTTGTGACAGGAGTGAAGATGCACGTGATTGCATACCAACGCACTCTCTGTGTTGCATATAACTCTTGTAACCGCTGAATCTGACATAGTATGTACACCAATACCACGAGATGAATCATACCACGATAACTCCATAGTCATAATCGTGGTGTTATCAGCAGAGCGGATGACTGATAAGTATTTCTTCGGACTGTGGTTGGGTGGTATTTCATAGTGCTGACCGGATAAAATGCCCTGGTGCGACAAGCGGAGCTGATATGCTCATATATACATATCCACTTTCCAAACAAACCTCAATTCTACTCGCCACATCGTCATCTTCACTATAATTTGTTCCACTATGGCGAACAAAATGTATCAATACAAGCCGTTAACTGAACATGATTCGATTCGACTTTTATTTCTACCACCTTCCGCTGATAGCGCCGCCGATGTCCATTGCACTTTACTTACAACCACATTAAGCAAATTGGAAAACGATCCGTTTCATGTATATACAGCCCTATCTTATGTTTGGGGTGATCCGGAAAAGAAGAAAGTGATATACATCGATAACGAGATTATTGGGATCACGACTAACCTGGATTCCGCCCTGCGTGAGATTCGTGACCCTTTGAGGGAACAATATTTATGGATAGACGCAATTTGCATCGACCAGGCGAATTCTCCCGAGAAAAGTAAGCAAGTGATGCAAATGGCAAAGGTTTATCAGATCGCTCGAAACACGATTATTTATCTTGGTGAGTCTACCGAATCATCAACACTGCTTCTGGGAGCAATTTCACGTGCCTACAAACAGAAGGCAGGATATATAAGGGCAAGGGCAAGACAAATGTTAAATTTTTTGTTCAATGACATCGCTACTTATACGAAAGAGCATTATGAAAAGTTGGAGAAACTCTTCTTAGAACTATTGGAGCGACCTTGGTTCACAAGAGTCTGGGTTTTTCAAGAGTTGCTCTTTTCAGTGGACCCATGGGTGCAGTGCGGACGACAGCATGTCAGTTGGGGACACCTCTACCAGGCTACTGAAGCGATAGCAGTCGCAGGCTTCGCTGCCTTCCAGAAATCGGAGGCATACCGTGTATTCGCTGCGATGAATAAAGAACGAAGCAATTTCAAGTCAGCTAGAAGACCCTCCAAGATTTTGGCAGAGAATTTGATCAATCTTTTGACGGCCAGAAGAGGACTGGGAGTTTCTGATCCTCGCGATATGGTCTTAGATTTTATCATATAAAGAAAACTGCAACCATTCTCTTGGACTACCTTCATGGGTACCTAACTGGACATTGAAAGGGTTTCCGCATCCTCACCGACGTCTGCGAGAAATGGAACATATGTGGGGTAGTCCTATGCCCCCTGATCTGTCTGAAGAACAAGTGCACACTTCTCCCACCTTATACACGTGGATGAACACATCTTTCGCATGCCCTGGTTGGCGGGCAGGCAATATTACAAAGGTTTCCAGTGATATCACTCTACATCAAGCTGACTGGAAGTTGCCAAGAGAACATCTTCGTCGTCTATTTCAAGAAGGCAGTTCACGCGAAAAGCTCTGGATTCATGCACTGAATTCATTGTATCGTCACTGGTGTGATATCTTGGGACCGCTTTATAGTGATGCCAACGTCATGAAATCAAACCCCGAAGACTCTACACAGCGTCGCCCACAACCACTCATTGATATGTTCACAGCGCAATCACAGAGTCTCAGAATGAAAAAAATTGACGAGATTGCCCAGACTCTCTCTCCACACAACATATTTACAAAGATGAATGGAGATTTTCTCGAGAGCAACGGGGAGAATGCGAGCCTGCTTGCTTCTACCATGAGTGTTATCATATGGGCTCATACTGTTATTTTTGAACGTGGAATAGCTGAAATCGCCTTTTCAGAGGTTCTTTACGACAGAAAGTTTGCCACATTTGAAGATGGAACTCTAGTTTTAGTGCCAGTAACAGCTATGATAGGAGATGTTGTTTGTTGGCTCCGTCCCGATCTAACCACCCCTTTTGTTCTTCGGGAAAAAGCTGAGCCACCTGCAGTTTCGGAAAACACGATTAAAGATCTTGATCGCCCAAGTTTGAGAGATTCTGAGCCTGCGTATTCCAAATATACCTTCGTGGGCGAATGTCACATCGACACTCCGATCTACAGTACCGTTTAGAAATCAACCCTATCACCTCCCCCGAAACCTCGTTCAACACAAGACGATTATTTCGGAAGGAACCCTGGTTTTAGCAACCACCATAGGCTTGAGACGTTTCTCATAAGCTAATCAATCTATCCGAGCGTTCGGGAAGAATACATTGATTATAAATATCATTGTAAAATCCCACACTGGGGATTAAAATCAATGTCCACGTTAACGTTGAAGTGTTATATCGAAATTCAGAATAAAGATTGTGAAGATTGCTACGTGGTAAGCAGATTTAATACGGCTACAATAATATTGTCGAATGAAACTCGCCAATTTCAACTATCATACTCCTAGCTTCATACCTAGATAGGTATTTCATGCACTCCGAGGTCAGTCCAGAAATTCACTCCGAAGTTGTGAGGGCAGAGATTAAAAGAAATACGGGGTGAGTTTAGTGGATACATCGCTTTTTCGCTCTGAATAACAGGGGCTATGCACTACACTATGGATACAAACACCCTCTCATCCCTTATTCATGTCTGTGCAGATATTGATCGAACGCCTTTTGGTAGGCCAAGAATTTACCAATCGGTTTACTAATCCACAATTGAAATAACTCATCAACTTCCATCTAGACTATATCGCCGTACTCTCATTAATTGCAAGTTAATTGAGATTTGCCGAAGGTCAGTCTTTAAGCGGAAGCGAGAATAGAGAACCGACTATACTGTTGATTGGTTTCGTCATACGTGCAATACAGCTAGATGAATGACCCCCACTTTTAGGTGAATGACTTCAAATTAGCAATTTTGACTAGCTCAGGGGCATATAGTCTTGAAAGTTCTCGACCAGCTCTCGAAAAGCTTCTGGAAACAACCATCCTCTACAATTCAAATAACTCCTACTACCAAACCTCAAACATGGCAACCTCAAAAGTCCCTCGGAAAATCCTTTTCCTGACAAATAGCGAGTATGGCCAAAGTAACGTCGTACTCGCAACCGCCTACGAGCTTATCCTTAACAACGTAGAAGTTCACATTGCCTCCTTTGAAGCCCCCGCTATTGCAAAGGAAGTTTCTGATATCATCGATTATGGAAACTTCCGTTCACCAATTCGAACCCGCGTCGATGAATTGAATGCTGGTGATTATGGACCAATTCCTCCTGGTAGTATCAAAGCAGTTTTTCATCCGATAGATAGTCCAGGAATGGTGGAGAAACTCGCGTTAGTTGCGCCGGATCAGGAAGCTATGCGTCATGGGGTGGGATTCCGAGAGGCGTGGAGAATTTATGCGAAGATTCCGAGTATTTTGTCTTCTTATACTCCTGATGAGTATGTGAAGGGAGTTCATTCTTGTGTTAAGATTGTTGAGAAGGTTAATCCGAATGGGATTGTGGTAGAAAAGCTTTGTGCGCAGGCTTTTGATGCTTGTGCTATTTTGGGAAAGAAACCTATGAGTATTACTCCAAATAGTTTTAAGGATACGTTAGCTCAAGCTCAACCGAATGGGTTTGCACTATGGGGTATAGCTGCGTAAGTTTATCCTCTTTCCTTCGTGATCTACCATCTAATATTTTTGATTAGCGATTGTTCTGGCTATAATTTTCCACTTCCATGGTATCTTATTCCATTGAACATTGTACTAATGATACGTCTGATTATCATTGTCGTCACATCTCCAAATATCAAAGCTATCGAAGCTGGGCGCAAAAAGGCAAATATTCCAGGCCAATATCCATTCTTTGTTCCATACTCCAAAGATGTTCACTACTTGCTTCCTACGGGACGAGAATTTGATCTTCAACTGCCACACATTCCCGAAAATGTAACGACCTGTGGACCCCTCACTATACCCTCCTATCCACTCTCTCAAACTGATCCAGGACTCTTAGAGTGGTTAGAGAAAAAACCTACCGTTCTTATCAATCTCGGGTCACACGTATACGGAAGCAAAGAATTCAACCGCAACATTGCCACCGGAATTCGTATTCTCCTCTCTAGAAATCCCTCCATCCAAGTCCTCTGGAAACTCAAGCCCACAACACCAGGACCCGATCCCGCCATTGCCGAAATTCTCGCACCAATTGCCTCGCAAGTAAAGCTCGTACCTTGGCTCAAAGCAGAGCCAATATCTATTCTTCGCTCGGGTTACATCATCGCATCTGTTCATCACGGCGGTGCGAATTCATATTACGAAAGTATTGAAACTGGGACTCCGCAATTGCTATTGCCTTGTTGGTTCGATACCTATGATTATACGGAGAAGGTGGAGTTTTTCGGTGTTGGTGTTTGGGGAAGTAAGGGTTGCGCACCTGGTGTTGAGGGAGAGGAACTAGGAAATGCGTTGATTAGAGTTACGGAGGATAATTCTATTAAGCAGAAAGCAAAGGAAATCGGAGAGTTGGTTAGTAAAAAGTACGGAGGTCGAAGAGATGCTGCGAGGAAGATATTGGAGTTGGTTGAGGGAGAATTTGGTTTGCAGAACAAGTTGTGATATATTTGGTTGGAAATTAATTCGAGCAGTTGTTCTGGAGATTGGAAAGGATAGGTGGAGGGGAGGGAATGAAAGTGTGGATTAAGAGAAGTCGTAATTACCATGTTTGCGTTCCAGGCGAATGTCATGCATGGTATTTACTACATGGTCTTCCAAAGAAGGCGAATTCCTGAAGAGATATTTTGGATTTTGGATTTGATTGTAAAATATTTAGGATACCTTTGAATAGCAAGATTTACAGAAATACTCCTATCGTTCAATCTATAAGCAATATACTATACTTCTCTTCCATCCATCATTACAGCACAAGCCGCCCCAGCCCATTAAAAGAAAGTGCAAATCGTATTCCCAAACCGATAATCTATCTCATCGTAACGATCTCATCTCGTACAACACAACACACATCGTACCGTATCCATTGCTCATCTCATCATCTATCACCCATACATGATTCCCTCCCAGCCCAACCCAACCCAGCAGCGAACCCAAACTTACCTCAAAACATCACCACAGAATCATACAAATCCAATTTTTCACATCGATATCCATCATCTGATGTTCTCAAGTAGGTAGGTGTCCAAACACGAAGCTTACATACCTTCATGCATATCCATACCTAGGTACGCATATCTGCAGATCCCCTCATGTAATCCGATACGAGGCGGAGATCTCGTTTGTTACCCGTTACTTGAGAGGTTTATGTTTAACCTGATGGCTGTTAGTTAGGGTTATTAGGTTAGTGATTATTAGTGTGAGGGATACGTTACGCAAGTAAGTAGATAGATAGGTATATAAATAAATACATAAATAAATAATCAATAAACCAGGCCAGGATAAGGATAAGAATATGCCACGCGGAGAATTAATAATCTTCACGATACGAAATGGTGGCACATATCTAGATACTAGATACCTGATTTTCGTATTTCCAAATCGGTTGGTGAGTGTACAACCACAACACCCCGGTTCTGTACGATGCGGGATCGAAAGAGGTAAGATTACATTCTAGCGATTTTTGTGGAAGGGTTCACCAGTTGGATGCACAGAGAGGTACAGGTACATAAGCTTAAAGAGTATCTAGTATGGTTAAAATACCTAGTATGCTTTTTTGTATTCTCCGGTTGCTTTGGGGTGGAGGGTGGAATACGAAGGAGATGGATGGATGGATGGATGGCATGGGGTTGGAATGGTGGCTCGTAATGGTGATGGTCACACATGTCATGCATATACATACACGAGTGAGGTACTGTGACGTTGGAGAGTAGGGAGGGGGTACTGGGAGTGCAAGTAAGCGAGAAAGAGAGAAGGGACGAAAGAATTGTTTGGGATAGCTGGAGTGGCGGGAAATATTGAGTGAGGATTTTTGTGGTATAAAGTCTCTGATGGATGGTGTGGAAGTAGTTTTTTATTCTCATTCTCATCATCTTCATCTTCATCTTCATCAATTTTGCATACACCCATTAGATTTCTAGACAGACTTAAAGACAACAAACAAACAAACAAACATCATGGTTTCAATCCGCAACTTCGCTTTAGCGATATCGAGCATTCTCGCTTTCGCTTCCGCAGCTCCAACGATCGAGTCCAGACAGGATACCTGGGTTCCGGGTACTTTGAACAATACTCGAGAGTTTTATCTTCACATGACGGTTACGGATGGTGATTATACGCATAATGGATGGGTTTGTAAGTAGCTTTCTATTTCTTTCTTCTTCCCTTCATTGGGTTCCACCTCTACCATTCCTTCACTCCGTCTTTCTCCACATACAACTCACACCCCCCCCAGTAGAAGCCTGGCACACGGGCGCCGGCATGGCCGATCCCGTTTTCGTCGACTCTTCCAATAACACCGGATCCCGCATGTATTTCAATTCCTCGCAGCTGCAATTCGACGTGTCTCCGTATCCATTCAGCATGAATGCTTTTCCCTCCGACACCAACTATGCACGGTGGGAACCGGTGACGATTACGTCGGGATATGGAAGTGGAAAGTTTGTTAATGAAGGGAGTGCGGGGTTTCAGGTGGATGAGGAGGAGGCGGATGGGTGGGTGGTTTGTGAGTGGTTTCATGGGTTGAATGCGCCGCAGCTTTTTCAGATGATCAAGTATTTTGATGCGCCGAATCCGTATGATGTGCCCAGTAGTTGTGCGAGGGTTTTGTTGTTTCCGGTTTGGATTTAGAGGGGTTTGAGAGAGGGGGGGGAGGGGAAGGGAAGGGAAGGGAAGAGATGAGATGATAGAGAGATAGTTGCTTGGTGGATGGGTTGGTATTGTGAGAAAGAGAAGGATTTGGTAGTATGATGAGCTTTGGAAGAGGTTAATGTGGTGATGGGTTGGATAGATTAGATAGGGTTGTTGAGGGATTGATAGAAGAGAGCGATGTGTGTCACATGATTTAGAAGTAATTATACCTAATTTGTTGAGCTGGAAGTGTTATTGAGTATTTTCTTGCGAATAATTTACCACGGCTCCTAATTCGATATCTCGAATCTCAACCTCATGATTCCCATACCCCGAAATTCAAACCCTGATCACACTCCCTCTACAAACTCTACTTCCCAAGCATACACACAACCCCACCAACACATCTATTTCGGAATATCGCCCTCCCGATACTCGGCACAAAATATCGTATACTCTTCTTCGGAAAATCGACCGCGTAGATACAGGGCATAAGCCAAATCACCTTTTGTCTTGAGAGACACTTGTTTGTATTCCAGGAGCTCGGCGTCGAATCTGGTATCGCCTTCTGAAGCCTCCTAGGACATATGTTAGTCAAGTAATACAGGACTGGGTGAGGAGTGTGGTATGTTCTTCGGAATACAGGCGGGGTGCGAAGTAGGGAGATTGACACTTACGATTATAGTAACAGACTTAGTGGGGGGAGGTAAGAAAACAGGTTTCGCTTTTACAAGAGCAGCTTCCAATTCGGCCGTGAAGCTGAGTTCAGGAACGGGCATGGAGGCAGCGGGATATATTGCAGGAGTATCATGCAATTCATGTGCATATGAAGGCGGAGGTGAGGTCGGGGTAGATTCAATGACTTGCGGAGATGGAAGTAGTTGTCATGGTAATCTTACAAGATCTTGCTTTGGTGCGGCGAGTTGCTTTGATGTGGTGACTTGCTTGGCAGGGACGGCTGGTTTGTCCACGGAGGTGTCGAAGAATTCTAAGCAAAAATTGGCGTATGATTCGGCTGAAATTCTGTTTCTTTTGTATAGAGCCAGGGCAATATCTTCCCTTGGCTTTTTTAAGACAGGCTAGTCTGTATTCTAGTAGTTCAGTATCGAGGTGTGTTTTGTTGAACTATAGGTTGAGATAGAGTTAGCTAAGTGGTCATACCATGGTAAGTATATTTCACAGCTGAGGAGAGCGGAAGGCCAAATCTTTACCAATTTCTTCTTGACTGTGGACTTTGGAGTATTCTCCAGTCTTTCGACTTCCATGCTTGCTGCATATAGGATCGGGAAATACTTCTTTTCGAACTCTAATGGCTTCAAATTGACTGCACCAAATGATCGTCAGTTGAGTAAAGGAACCCACGTCGAAGTGTGACTTACAAAAACCCATCACCATCTTACGAGTAATCATGTCAATGTCTTTGGGATGTAAGCCAATTAACATTTTGTGAGCAGTGTTAATGCGTTGCTGCGTGATAATTTCTCCTTTGTCGTCTTTTTCGCCAACGGCCCAATTTTCAAAGGCTTTGAGAGTGAACATTTTGAATGAGAAAGACAACTCGATGCGAAGTTGTTGCTGGATAGCGGTCAGTTCTAAGAGACCAGTGTAAAGTCTAATGATGTACTGTATCTCAGACTCAGAGTCTTGTTGTTGTCCTAAAAGAGATCAAGTTCAGGTTGAGGTGTAGCAAACTCAAGAATTTCCCAAAATCTCATTGCAATATAACAGTTTTAAATGAATCTTTGGTGCACTTTCAAGCGTTCCACAGATAATAATTCCAAGTGAGGGGTCCTCATCACTCCAGGTGAATTTGGTAGGGAAAATCTCGTAAAGACTGCAAATGCCGACCAGTAATTTCTGATAGTTGACGGAGGCGCAGAGTAATGGATGTTCGGTAATTACTCCTGACTTCACTTTAACGAATTCACTCAGAACTCACTTCCTAATTACATTACACTTCAGTCCAAAAGAAGTTAAGAAACTCGGTAACCTTACCGCCTTTCAATTGAAATTTTCTTTTCCTTTTTAAAGCTCGCACTTTTGAATATTCTCGTTTTCAAACCATCAACAACAACCACCACCACCACCACCACTACCAATAAACCATCATTCAAACACACTTCCACATCAATCTCTCTTTAAAAATCAAAATCTATAATCAAAAGCAATAATTTGCAACATACAATATGATAACATTAGATGTTGCCGCTGCCTCAGCAGCAATTGAAGCAAAGGTCATCGCCGACTTGCGCGATGAAATCGCAAAGGCTATGGCGAGTGCAAATGGTGATATCAATGCACAATCGGAGCAATTTAGCAACTTATTTAATGCACGTTGTAAGTATTCCTTTTTCTTTCACCATCTTTCATTATTTTTGCATCGCTTTAGAGGAATTATTCATGGCGACTAACATGTTTTTGCAGGGCCTGCCGAGAATCCAGATGAATTCTTACAGCAATTTGTCAAATTCAGCTTTGGCAAAGCTCCAAGCAATATTTCGCAAGATAAGGGCAAGGGAAAGGCGGATGATGAAGCAGTCGCTTCACCAGCCCCCGCAATAAATGAGTATGTTACTCCGCGGGCGGTCCTCCAAACAGCAAATGACACCATCAAAGTCGAAGATGGAGATGTCATCGCGCCAACACCACCCAATCCCTCCCCCTCAGCAATCTCAGCAATCGACCGCCGCCCAATCCCCGGGCTGTATTTACCAGCAATGTCGGCCCAGCAACCTTCGCAGCCCATTTTCGCAATTTCCCGCCTTGCCACATACTGCAGGCAAATTGACACACGCAATGTTCCATCATACGGACGCATCTTAAAGCAACACAATGCATTCCCTCATTGCGGGGGTCGCGGCATCACCAAGCCCATCGGGGAGCAAAAAAGCGTCAACTACATTATTGACATGCACCCCGAGATGCAACTCCAGTTTTGTTTTTTGCAATTGAAGCGTGTGGATGCTCCCAAGGCATGCATTCTGTGGCCTCAGCCATATGGTGGAGTTGACACAAGCAATGTGGATGCATGCACAGAGTTCGCAAAAGTTGAGCAATTCTTAGACTGGCTGCAGGATCAAATCCTTCCCGCACACCTCAACATCCGCGATGCATACATCAAATTCACAAATGATCGTGCACATCTTGATGGTGCCAACACAGCAAATAATGTAGCAATGAGAGACATGGGCGCAAGACAAAATGCGTCTGCGGGTTCATCCAGAGCAATGAATAGCGAGAAGCGTTCGCGGGATGATCGCAGTGAGGGGTTTTATCCGGATAGGAAGAAGAGAAGTTATTGAGGAGGTGATGCAAGGATACATGGGGGTTGGATTGGATAGAGGGAGGTTTTTAATACAGCAAGGGAATACAAAATAGAGAAATGATACACAGCAAAGAAAGAAAGAATATGGTAGTAGAGAGGGGAGGGGTAGTGCAAGGATACTATATAGTCAGGTTCATCAAAAAGCAAAGTTAGTTAGCAATAATTCCACAACAAAATGACAAGCTTGAAATGAAACACTTATACATATCTGCTGCCTCATTGAAAACCATGCCGTGAAATTGAAGTCTTCATGATTTTTCCGTCCTCCTATCCGCTCTCACATACACCAGTATCAGACATGTTTGTATTATCTTGAAATTTATATAGAAACCCCACTCCACATGTTAAATGAATGAAATCCAAAGAGTGTCTGAAGTCGCGGTGCTGAAGGCGAAATGATACTGGGTTCATCATACATTTGTTTCATGGCGCGTAGGATAAAAGAAACTCATTCTCTTCCTCAACTTGTAGGGCTAGCAGAACTGAGATCTTAGCACCTATAAATGCGATATAGCATGCCTGTATAATTGCCTCAAAATAATGATCCAGATGGACAGAATGTTGGCTTGCGCAACGCGTCAAAATTGCTGCGGTTGTGTATCACGTGAAATTGCTGCGGTTGTGTATCACGTGATGCAACCACAAACTTTGACGACCGCATTACCATTTTTCATTGGGAAAGCAAACAGACAACCGTTACAACGTCGCAATCCAATGAGTCGGCTCTGTCCCGTACTACTTACATCAACTGGTTGGCTTACGCCTAGTCCATCGTTTTTTATGAAGAAAGACAGTTCTCCAGGTCTCCGAGGAAGCTTTATCTGTTGAAACGAATTCAAGCATTCATGATCTCAAAGATGCTCAATCATTTAACTGCAGTTCGTAGCACCCAACATCATTACTTTTTTCTTTCAAGAGAACGCTAAACGCCTCGATTGTTTCTAGAATCTTAGTGCTCTATTCATTCTACCTCTATTACAAAATGCTTTAATATGATCTGCAAAGGAATTATTCATATAATATTCCTGTACTGTTGCCTTCGCCATTGAGCTTCCACATCATCTAATCTTCTAAAAATTTCACCCCTTCGATCCATTGATCTTCTACCTCCAGTAAAACTATTGACCGATTCTTTCCTCCTCATCGATCCACTACTAGAATCATCTCTATACCAAGACTTTCCATTATTAAGCGCATGGACTTCTTCTTCTCTTTCTTGTGCATTTTGCGCAACATCAAGTTCAGGATTCTGTGTTGGGTCGTTATCTGGATCTCCATCCTGTCCAGGATTTGCCATTTCGTACTCCATCAGCTTGATCAATCTGAAGAAAAGTACTGCCAGTCCCGCGCCCAGAAGTGGTCCAACCCAGTAGATCCAATGTTCTCTTGGAAAGTTCCAGACAATGGCTGATGGACCAAAACTACGAGCTGGATTTAAAGATGCTCCAGTAAATGGAACCGCTACCATGTGAGCAACAAAAAGAGCAAGCCCGATTCCGATAGGAGCAACGAATGTAGCTTTGTGTTTCTCAACAGCTAACATTATGATCGTAAAGATCAAAGCGGCTGTAGTAATGGCTTCGATGACGAATCCTTGAGCCATAGAAGTACCACTTCCAAGTGTGGTGGCAACTTCAAGTTGCTTTGGAAAAATCTCTTGCACGAGAATGGCAGCTAAACACGAAGCGCCAAGTTGTGTGATGACGAGAAGAACAGCACGAATTGGTGAGACTGCTTTAAGTATGGCAAGTGCCAAAGTTACCTATCATTGTTAGCTTAAAAATTACTCAATTGTCATGTTATACTTACGGCTGGATTGAACAATCCTCCACTGATACGAAAGAATATCCACGCAGTAACCATAAGACTGGCTCCGAAAGTTGCGGATATGTAAAATAAGACTTCAAGATCTGGTGGCTCACGCCCTTGAAGTTTTGCAACTTCAATACCTGCGTATCCAAAGAAAAGAAAAAGTGTCGTTCCAATTAACTCTCCAATCACAGCGACGATATCTAATACAGTTAATGAAAAATTCCAAATATAACTGTGTATTTACTTACGATTCTTCCAATCACTATTCATCCATTTCATCCATTTCGTTGCCGGTCTTCTTTTCTTGTATCTTTGAATTCTATCCTGTGTCTGCAAATTTTGCATCCATGGTCGACTTCTACTAGCTCTCTTGTTTTGTGCCATGTTATCTCCATTGGTTAAACTGACACACCCATCCTCACTCGTTCTGTAAGGATGTAAATCAGGGTATATTTCATCGACGACGGGATAATGTCTTGGGATATCGTGTGATTGCTTAGGAAATTCGAAATCTTGCATCGGGATTGGCGCAGGAGTGTTTCGCTGTACCACTCTTCTTGGTGGTGGGAAACTACGATATCGACTGTCATCTAGACGGATTTGAATTTCTTCATCATGAGCTGATAGAGGACTCGCTCGTAATGGTTGGGGATGATCGCTCATCAGCGGGCTTCTCATAGTCATTATGTTTATATCGATATATTATAAGTATTATAAGTCGGGAAAATAACCTTTGAATGGGAGATTAGAACACGTTATATGACTTCCGGACATTGATATGGTTTCCGAGTGTGTCACTTTTCTCCGTTCTCTTTCTGCGGCATAAGCATTGTCCACTCCATCTTCAAAGCTTGAAAGTTTCTTTTTCCCTATCTGAATCTTCATTCTTGGCATACCTAGTTAGGTACATCTCGGCTTCTGAAAGTCCAGGTTTCATCAATCGAAGAGACTTCTCAACGTTGAGTAAGGAAAGTTCATGCAAAGCCATGTCTATAAGGTACTTCCCTTAAGAAGTATTTACGCAAAACGTAAATGACGATGATGTCTGAAGAATCGGAAAGGCTTTTGCGGGGTTGAGGGATATCGGCAACGATGGATGTTTGAGAGAGAGGCCAAGCGGGACGAGAGAATCTGATACAAAAATGACGAGATTTCGCACAGACATCCGGAGCAAAACCTCAATCGTATTCTTTAACAATGGGAATCTCCATTGCGGTTCTCCATCGGGTGCTATTGTGCGGGAAACGTCTTTTATCATGTAAGCTGCTCGTCGTACTAAGAAGTACATTTCATTTAAGTTATCATGGGAATATCTCAAGAGGAATGGAAGTCCACATGTGTCGTCAACCATGAAACAATCAGCTAAGCTTTCCTAATCTACATACGCTTATTTTACGAACCGCTGCCGCTAATGCACAGGCGATGATTTCTTGTGGGTGGACGTCATTGTCTGTGCGGAACCTGGGTGATCGACTGATGTGAAACATCGTTTGATCGTTCCGAGGAGACGATGAGAGATTTAGATTGCCGACGTGATGTTATTTTGGATCAGAAATTCATAGCATATCGGCACATCGAGAATTTTCTAATAATAGTCTATGTCTACCGGTAACGGGTGTGTTTGGCAAAGAGGGTTAAGAATAGACTAGTAGCATTAAGTCTAGATTCTTACCCTGACGATTCGATTGTTGAGCAGGGCATGTGAGTCCCGATTAAATATTGCGGTCGGAATCAATGGTATCAAGGTGTCTAGAAGTACGAACTGCAGTCCAACAATGAAGATTATGAAATCCCTAAAATAAGTAGAATATTTAATTCATCTGAGATATTGGATTTGATTAGAAGATTGAACTATTTTCAAACTTCTAATTGCCTTTAGATATTCAAACCCTTATATTGTTGAACTACAATCCGGACAGTCGGAATATTAGATACCGTAAGCTGCGGTTTGGAGTTTGACACGCAGCTAGAACTATATTACATGAAGTTTGATGTAGTATCTGATCGACAACGAACAGTTTTTGATTATTGTTCGGGAGCTTGAATTTATTCAGAATGCTAGATTCATTCGAGATTGGAAACTCTCCAATAACTCATAGGTCTTCAGACTTTGCCTTCGTTTCAGACACCGAAAGCTGTTCAAACATGGAAGGAAAATGATTGAATAGGTATTGAATTTTGAAATCTCAAATTTTATTCTACTATTTTTGACCATGACACCTCATTAAAAACAAAATTACACCATAATTGTATCTCCAGCACCATCCATGGCTCCATTCTCAATGAATCCAAGACCATCCATTTCCCGCAGCGTGTATTCTAAAAGATAACTCTCGTCAAGCAATTCTTCCATTCTCTTGTAATGTCTATCCGTATAAACTTTCAAAGCATCAATGACCTCCTTCAGACTCTTTTGACCTTGTGCCCCCTTAACTTTAAGATTCGATAAGCGAGAAGCGGGATAACTTTTGACGAGAACATGTAAGATTCTTTGTGCGACAGATGCTGTTCTAGCGTTGGTGTTCCAATCACGGACTCTGAGAAGTAGGTTGAAGATTTGAGCATCTGTTAAGGAGGCTAGGACGGTATCAACAGCTTTGAGACCTGAGATACTTCCTTCTTCGTGAGTACCGGTAACGACGGTTGTGAAGATGGAAAGTAATCGTGCGGGATGATTGAGTGTAAGTGCAAGAATGATAGCTTCCCTGTAGCTACCAGCATGTATGAAGTTTTGTAACTCCTGCTCTTGCTCCACGAATTGAGTATTGGCCGCTTCCCTAGCAGCTATTGTTGCTGAGGTTGTGTCCTTCCAAAATGTGACAGTGGAATCTCCACTTCCTGATACTATCATGTTTGTTTTAGGGTGGACAGTGAGTGCCCAAACTCTATCTTCGTGATTATCTAACGTGCATTCTGACTCTCCGTTTGTTGCACTCCAAACCTTGACAAGACCATCTCCACCAGCCGTGGCTATTTGAACATGTTTCCTATTTCTGTCTTCTGGTGCTGGTAATTTCAACCATGCCACTTTGAGAACAGAATTAGTATGCCCTTCAAATGTTCGTAAGCAGCTGTAGTCGGAAAGATTCCATATCTTGACAGTTTTGTCTCCACTTCCAGTAAGAATTAAACCTTTTCCGGAAGCTGGACCGGACTCTCCTTGAA